AATCTGCGGCTCAGCCGAAATCGTAGACTCCGTCTGAGCGCTTTTTAAGAGCTGCTCCGCCATACAGGACTTTGTCGAAATAAAGTTGTGGCACATGAATTTGCCATTAATAAGATAATATCTTACTGAATACCGCGACCCGTGTTTCGCGGAGTTTCGAGAGGCTTGATGCAATTACGGCGGAAACTGATTACCCGGACATGTCACAGTCGAGGATATTGTCTAGTTTTCTGTCAAATGTCATGAACCGGGGTCCCGAGTTGAGTTTCCCGCTCGAAAACTGACATTTGCACTTTTTCCCAGGACCTCGCAGGATGCGAGGCCTTCTGTTCTTGGCGCTCGTCTCACTTCCACCGCATCTTTTTTTCGGCTCGCTTCTCCTTCTTTTTTTTGCCATTCGTTTTGACTCCATTTTTCGTTATCCTTTTTAGATATTCATATTTTGCCATTGATGATATTTTCACTACTTTCGTATGCATTACACGTACGGCGCCCGCACAGCCGCCCATATATATGTATGTGTGAATCCTGCGAGGGGTTCGAGAGATTGGTTTTGAGGATGCCAGGTCCTGGGGCTGTCTTTGGGCCGTATTAACTCTACCCGGCCGAACGGGGGATGTGTGTGTGCGTGAAATTTGCATATTTTTTGACTTAACACATCCTTCAAAAATTGCGAAACGCGTTTGCGATAGCTTTGGCATTTCCTTGACGTCTTTCCGCTTTTTCCGCTTTTCCCCACAGTTTTTCACCATTTTTTCCTATCCGTTTACATTCTTTTTTTTTTTTTTTTGTGCAAGAGAGCTCTATCTATTTGGCCTTTGGAAAAGTTGAGCCCATTAAAGCCAAACGCTTTAAATGCCGAATTGTGTCCAATGTGCGAGCTGGCTTTTATGGGACTCCCGTGTCCTGGCAAAATTGAATTGGCCGCATTAAGCGCTCGCGCCCCATCGGGGCATTGTGGATGCCAGTGATGGCAATTTATATGTTTTCCGGACAGATTGTTCAGTTATTAAATGGCATTAAGTGTTGGGAAAAATTATGTCTTTCTTTGGGGAACAACGTTTCGAATATCAGGACAATGAAAAATTGTGTCTTGATTTTTCACATCTGTACATATTTTAGGATATAAAAACTGCAATGATTTCAAGACATGAAAATCTGTATGAAATCAGCAATAAATTGTTATATATTTAAGAATTCGTGTACCAAATGTTTATTGTAAATTTATATATCCTTTTTCATCCTAGAATTTATTTAAATAAGCTTTCTCTACCTTCACTGATGTATTGTGTATCCTTTTTTTTGGGGGCCAAATTGATTCACAGTGGCTTTAATGGCCGGGAATGTATTTAAATTTCATGCGGCGCTGCTGAAGGATACCGAGAGATGGGGCTGCAGGCTCGGCTCTCAAGACAAGTGGCGCTAATCCTTGACTTTGCTGCTAATGCACGTCGTATGTCAAACACCAAAAACGTTTACACCCCCGCTGACTGCCGCCCCCGGACCGCTCCCGTTTGGCCAAAAGCCCCCTTTTGGCCGCCCGCACAAGTAACGCAATTTATATGCCTTCTTCACTGGCTTGTTTGTCTTGGCAGCTCCGGCATCGTCTTTCCCTCCGTCCTTCGCCTTTCGCTGTGTGCCGTGCATTTTTCTGCACTTTTGACTTCTGAGCGTGCACTTGGCCAGGCTCGGAGCCTCGGTTACAGCCGGATTGAGCTCCTCCGCGGCAGCCACCATTTTGTGCGCGTTGTTTGTCTTAAGGGATATATATTCCCCTCGGTGTGTGCGAGCGTTTGTATTTGCCAGCACTCTGCCGCAGGCATTTTGATAAGAAAAACAAACACACATACACTGGCTCACTCGTTCCCTCTCTCACTCAGGCCAGGCCGGCTCAAGTGTCATTTATGCGTTTTAATGCCGGAATTTAATTTTCAAATTAAGTAAATAAGTTTGCGTAAAAAGTTTCTGTGGATCCGCTGCAGCAAGTATCGCCATCTTGAGTCGCTCACAAAAGCCGCCGCTGGCTGTTCACTTCGTGAGTTGCAGTTGCACTTGCTTCGCAATAAACTCTTGGCATTGACAAAAAATTATATGGTAAGCCGTAAGAAGCTCGTGCTTAATGGCATTCGGGCCACTTGGAGCGTAAATGAAGCGCTTTAAGTGCGCAGGGCTCTCTGGGATAAGTAATTCGCATGTACGGGATTTGCATGTGGATATACTGACAGAAAGGACTCTTAAAATCAAAAGGAAAGACTTTGGAATATAAAAAGAAATTCATGAGTTTAAAAATTAAAAATTTTTAGGTAATTTTGGGCCAAAAGTCCAATATTGTATATCTCAATTTAAATCAAAATTCTTTTACACAAACGTTTGACTCGATCAAACTCGTTTATAATTGTAATTCAACTATATGAAATCAGTATCCATATAAAAAGCCGGAAACAATCACATACTTTTTCGTCCAACTGTAGCAATTTCTGTTCAATCTGTTCCCTGGAAACCCTTTCACTTGAAGACTCGTTTGAGCCATCGCAATAAACTGTGCTCTCAGCTGCTCATCTAACTGCACATAATGGCCGATTCGAGGGCGACGCGATACGATTCACGATTCTGGGACTCTGAACTCGCTTTGAAGTAATTTTCGTTACGATTATAGATTGCTTTTGGCCCTGGCACGAAAATGCTCTTGGCATTTCCGGGCAATTTTCCTTGGCTATTGTATCAATTTGCAATTATGTTTCAATCAATTTTATTGCCATCTAATCTGAGGAGCGAAATATATTGCTTTTTGTTGTGAAGTTATAGGATATAGCGCAGAATCAAATATGCTGCCACCTGCCATGGATGTGTGTTGGAGTTTTTATAAATTTGAATTTGAAATTGAATTAAAATTTGACAATTTATTAAGCTTTTCATGAAGTTAAGGAAATATTTTTAAATAAAAATAATACCATGACCAAGAACCAGATAATTTCCTTTATTTTTTATCCAGCTTAAAAGATATATATCTACGTCGCCCCCAGGTGTATATTTTAAATTCGTATTGAGGCAGCCTTAGTTACGCTTATGGACCTAGGCTCCTTGTCACCTTTGGCCTTTGGTCCTGGGCAATTGTCACCTCGGCTTGTTAGGCCCGAGCGTCGCATTGTGGTAAATGGCGTCGCTTGTTAGCCAAGTTAACGAGACTTGCAAGTCACACAAATCCCCGTCCGGAGGCCCATTACCTACACGTTGCCATGTGTGCACTCAGGCGGGAAAACAAAGGGGTGTCCGGGGTGCTGTTGCGGGATGTGTAGGGATGACCCACTGCAATCGGGTAATTGGTCCAAACTGGCCACGCAACAATTTCATAAACAACATCAGAGAGCACCAGCTGGAGGTCCAAAATATTCAGGCCGGGCAGTATGCAAAAGCCGGCTAACCGAATTCCGCGATTTAAAGGCTCGATTTTATTTTTAGCGACACCGAAAAATATTTATTTCAATCTAACTAATATAGATAAAGCTGTAAAATTAACTTTTCTATCGGATATATATATTTTAAATATATTTTTAAATATCAAAGAAATGTATAATATTATTTTAAGAGCATATTCTCAAGTGTGAAAATGAAATAAATATTAAAGTCTATATTTCCAAAGGTTTTATCATAACTTTATCAAACTTAATTTAATTCTAACGTAAATGTAAAGACGTCAATAAACAGACAAAGATTTATTTCTGTAATTAAATAAGTAAAATATATAAAATCATAGTACTTTTTCAGTGCACTCTTCTGCCCAGCATCGACTGCATTTTGTCTGCGTGCTGCGAAACATTTATCATCAATTAATGGCATTAGTAAATGTTTGGCAAAGAATTTGGGCTACCAAAATATTTTTGTTCTATATGCAGCGCCATAAATAATACCAAATACCGTTCTTTGTGCACGCACACACCCATCGAATGTAGGACCGAGTCGCATATTGAATGCACTGAATTTATGGCACATTTTAAATTCAATTGAATTCATGCGTGGCTTTGTTGTGGCCCAGCCCAGCATCCGCCCCCTGTAATATATGGTTGTATATTTCGTTTTTTAAGCCACACAGCGTCAGCAAATATTGCTATTAATTCTTAATAATAATAATAATAGCAATGGCCGATGACGACTGGATGGCATGGCCAGGCCCATTGGAACTAAGGCTGCATTTTATTTATGGCCTGCACTTTCGCACTTTTATTGTTTTTAAATTTATTTGCATTTTTTTATGATTAAAATATTTTTCATTTGCGGCTTAAGAGCAAATTTATACTCGGGCCTCCGCACGCCTGTTGCCAATACCTTAAATAAGTTTTATAAATTGTCCCGGAATGGCAGAGGAGGGTGGCCGGTCCCGGCCGTTTTAAATAGTTGTGCTTTATTTAATTACACGCAAACGCCGCGGGCATTATGCGGGCGCAACAACATGTGGCCGGCTCTTTTAATTAATCCGCCATCAAGGGGGCCGGAAAGGCAGTGCTCATTTGGGCCAGGTCGACTGGCCAGGCCGACAAACCTGGCTTTGGTAATTACACTAAATTCGCGGCACAAATAAGAAAGTGGGGTACAGGGTCGCTGGAAATCTAAATCATTAATTACTTTGCTTGCAAATATTTTTCAGGTAGTGATACAATTTTGTTAATGGAAAGGAAAAGTGTGTACTTTTACTTTATAAAGATATAAATATTATATAATTTATTCAGATTATTTAAATCAATTTTATAAAGTAAAATAAAATAATAGATATTGGGTTAATAATTGAAAAAGTTACTCTATGTTTTCCTTTTTAAAAATGTATAATATTAGGACTGTGAAGGACTGTGTCTCCAGTGTCAGCATATTTTTTAATATTCTAAGACTTAATTGAGTTAAAAAATATATAAAGCCTACTACTATTATACCTTTAAAACTCCTACTATAAAAAACCCCCCTGAAATGTCAGAAGCAGTACACGAACTTCAACAAATCATATCGATATATTCAGTGCTGTAGCACATTACTCCATAATAAGTTATATATTTTCAAACCCAGACATGAACGAGAAAAACGAACTCCGGCGCTTCCTGCACTGGGGACCCTTCATCCTTTTGAGCCTGACTTTTGTTGTCACCTGCACCACGCTCCACATGAACTCGATGTGGTGGCCGCCGGGTCCGACCTGGGGATCTTGGGTGAACTATTGCCTCATCTGGTTTCACGTGTTCGCCGTTTTGTACAACTTTTTGAGGACCCTAATGGTGGGACCTGGCTTTGTCCCTAAAAAGTGGAGGCCGCAGCAGAACGAGTCCACGAAGTTCCTGCAGTACTGCCAGCGCTGCGAAGGATACAAGCCACCGCGGTCGCATCACTGCCGCCGCTGCGATCGCTGTGTGCTCAAGATGGATCACCACTGTCCCTGGGTGAACAACTGTGTGGGCTGGTCCAACCAGGCCAGCTTCGTGTACTTCCTCCTGTTCTTCTTGTCTGCCAGCGTGCAAGGAATCTTTATAGTTGCCCCTGCTCTGTTCAGGGGCGTCTCCAAGCGGTACTTGATTAACATTAATATGAAGCACCTGGCCACGGTAAACTTGACTATGTTGAGCTGCTTGGCCTGCATTATAACCCTGGGCATTTACATGGGCATGGGCCTGGCCTGTCTCAAACTGCTGCACATGCAGGCGAAGGTGATCTTCACAAACAAAACGGAGATTGAGCGCTGGATCATAAAGAAGGCGGAGTTTCGCCGTGAGGCGTATTATCCTGGGAAACATATGAAGCCCTTCGTGTACCCGTACGATCTTGGATGGCGGAGCAACTACCGGCAGATGTTTGTGCCCTCCGGTGATGGTTACAGCTGGACGGTCCTGCCCGGCTGCAACCAGTTCACTTTGACAGTGGAGCAATTGGAGCAGAAGAAGGAAAAGCGGGCTCGAGCTCGCAGTTACAAGTGCATTAGTCCTGCCACCGGCTACTGCTTACCAATTATCTCGCAGGGCATCTGGGTATGCATGACAATACCCTGTAACGACGATCCTCGCATTGCCCTGAAACCAGGTGATCTCGTACGGGTGACTCGTTCTCATCAGCACTGGATGTACGGGGAGAGAGTGATCTCGGAGGAGGAGGAGGTCGAGAGAAAACAGCGTAGTGGTGCCATTAAAGGCTGGTTTCCCAGGGTCTGTGTCGAGATGATCGTAGATGAGGGCTCTGATGACGAAGAGAATAACCGGACTGGTGGAGAAACTTTTATTGTTGATAATAGGTCCGAGGGAAAAGTTGAAAGTGAGACAGAGGATACCCAGGCAGGTGGAGATGTCCCACATGAAGTTCGATACTCTAAAAAACCAGGAATGGATCCCTACTTTAAACGAACTTTGGAGCTCATCGAAAATGAGAATTATGCAAATCTGGATGATGAGAAACCTCCGTGGGACGAAGATGAGGCAGAATATGACTTTGGAGAGCCCGAGGGAAATACTCCTAGCCCCTGGATAGATGGAACACGAAAACGCGCTCTTTAAAGGGCATTTCCTGCGGCGACCTGGGCCACAGAGAAGTCCCCCATTCCCAGTCGCCGCAATAAAATTGCTTTGGTCAACCGCCGCATTAATCTTTTAACGCGTATTGCTTAATACTTTTCAATATTGCATTAATAAATAAATACCTTCGCCGCGGCAACAAGCCAAATGTGGATGTTAATGTCGATATTAAAATGCCGCCCGATCGGCTGATGCAGTCTATATAGAGCTCTATGTATAATAATTGAGTTGCCGGCGCGATTTCACGGTACATTGGCCTTAAACTGGCGGCAGCAGCTGCTCTTAACCAGTTGGAAAGTATCTCCAATATGGCAGTGGCTGTGTGTGCATCTGCCGGCAAGTAATTTGCAAAGCTCCATTGTTTTTTCGTTCTTTTTTTTGCAGTTAGGTATCGGTGACAGGAAACAGGAACACACGGGCACACACATAGGACAGGACATACAAAAAAAAAACAAACTGCAACAAGAACGACAGTATTGAAAGCCAGCTCGGGAATCAATTGAAATGCACGACCTGCAAAAGTTGCGCTGAGTCGCGGATTTGCCATTGTAGTATAAACATGGCCATGTAAATCAATACGGCTCTTATATCCTATAACCCTGCGTATCACTGATCCTGTAGGGGGACTGCTGCTGCCAATATCCTTTACAAAAACCAGCAAGACTAGGAATAACACGAAAAAACAAGGCATTTACACAGAAAACAAGGCAATTGTAGGTCTTGGAAAAGGTTAGTCTATGGTAATTTGTTGCTTTTAAACTGGAATCTGTTTGAATTTAGTTAGTTTTTTAATATTTTTACATACTTTATTAATAATTTATTATGAACTAAAGTGTCTAGAAAATAATAAATACAGTATTATAATCTTATAAGATTTTTCCATTATGTTAGGTTACAATTTCACATTTAATATTTAGTAGTTTCTAAGATTTCTAATATACCCAGAAAAAGTAAGGTCACAGCCTGCACTACTGAGGTGTGATGTGAGCTAGCTGATAAAAGCTGAATGCATTCCGCCGCTGAATCATTAGCATTGGCGTCAATTAAACTGAAAGCCAGTGGCTGATCAATGGGCTCTGCTCCTCCTCCTCCTCCACCACCTCCTCCTGAAATGAATACCCCGGCTGGCTAATGCAAATGGCATTGCATTGAGTAATCACTTACAGCAATCATCACTCCTTGTTCCAAGGATAGCGCAGAGGAGGAACAGTGTTGTAACAGGATCAGGCGACAGGCAAACAAAGCCCTGGGCCCGGGGGGAAATCCTTGGGTTACATGTTTGAAGTCCAAGGCTGCGACGGCGTGTTTAGCTCAAAATTAGATAAATGCAATTTGAATTTGTGCGCAAGTTGTAGGAAATATGCCGCTGGGAAATCAGTTGTCGTTGTCATGAGTTAATAGGCGCTGGGAATTGGCTCAAATAACGGGGGTGAGGGAGAGCTGATCCCCTCTCATATGACAGGCTAGATGATAATTCAATGCAAAAGAGGGCACGAGTCAATAAATATTAGCACGAAGCGTTGGGGCGCATGGGAGCGTGAAATGGACCGGGTTAGACAGCTGCCTGGCGGAGATGGCATCTCTGGCCATCGGGAGTATACCTAATCCAAGCCCGATCCCTATACCCCGGGCCCTGCTGTGAGCTGCGTTGTGTTTGGGGTCATTTGGGTGACGGCGTGGAAAATGCAAAACAAATAATCGCTTCTGGCCAGTGGAAAATCAATAGAAAAAAGGATTTCCTTTTTTGTAAAGGACTCTCTGGCCTGTCTGGGGAATTGAGGTTACAGCAGCATCCACATCTACAGCCACATCTACATCCACGGCCGGAGCCACATCCGAGCAGCAGCTGAAAAGTATGCAGTAAAAATAGCCATAAATAAATCTGCGTAAAAATAAAGCATGTGCCAACAGCCATAAACATAAACAATGCAACTTTCTGCCCCGTTTTCGCAGCTAGTTTTCCTTGTTTTCCATTTGGAAAGCCGGCGCTTTTATAAAGCGGAAACAAAATAAATTTTACATAAACATTTGCCACATAACAAAGGCGAACTTTAATGACTTTTGTCGTTGCAAAATAATTGTGCGTGAATTTTTTCGCTGCCACCACACAAATCGCTTTTCTGGCTCTCCCCCCCCCCAAAAAAAAAGAAGAAGAAGGCGTCTCAGCTTCGAGTGGCAGGACTCGGCTCGCTTTCAATGTCCTGCTGGCATTTAATTTCACGGACTGTCGTCCATTTTATGCTTTGGCAACACTTTTGACTTTTATTTTGAGGCTTCCCCCCAGTCCTCACTCCTCCTCAGTCATTACGCCCTCCCTGCTGCGGCTGTCCTCAGTCGGTCTGTGCTCCGCCCCCTCAGCGCCTTTGCGGCTATTTAGGAAGCTGTCGTGATTGGAAGTTGATACCCTCGCCCGGGCTTGGGAGCCGGCTTTAGCAGGAGCGATCTGGAAGCGCTTTAAGGACATCTGGCTTTGTCCGCTTGGCAATTATGTGCACTATGACGATTCGGCATTTAGCCGCCCGACAATGACAGGACGGCACAGGACACACAGTACAAGACGAGCAGGTGGGAAAAGGCTCGTATCACTTACAGTCTGGCAAGCAGAACAAAGGCAATTATGGCGTCATTAGAGCCAGATACAGCAATTGCATAGGCAGGAAGCACTTACCCCATATCGGTAGCAGCCAGAGTGGCAGAGTGGTTAAAAGCACAGCACCGCCGGCACAGAGGCGAGACAAGGACTACAGGCACAGGCCGCTAGCTGCCAGAGTGGACCTTGATTAAGAAAAAAAGAAATAAACAAAAGAAGATGTAAATGAGTTTTCAGACTCTGTAAGGGATAGGTTCTTTACGAGAAAACAAATTATAGGAAACAATAGCAATTGCATGGAACTGTTTGATAGATCAGTTGAAAACCGTCTCTGCAGCATCCTTATTCTACTTCTCTGCAGTTAGGGTGACCTGTGAACTTGTTTTGGTATGCGGTAGTCAGCATGTCACCAATCTTTGGAATACGGAGCTCATTTTCGATGTCTAGCTTTTGAGTTAGCCTCTCATTGCATATACTACCTCTCTAGACAACCGCAAATGTAGAACCAAACTCGCAGCATACAACTTTAATGTCTCTATCAAACTAGTTCAGAGGGGTTAAGTGAGCCAGCTGCTTAGGTTTTAAACTCGCTGACGGCAATCGCAATCCAATCTGAAAGTTGTAAAAATGTAAAATGATCAAAGGCGCCGGGCTGGAGTTGCGAGTGTAGCCGCCGCCGCATCCCAACTTCAATTTACTGCACTCGCTTTCTGGCGTGCTATAAATTCGCGGAATTGATATTGAATGCCCTCCGATTTCCATTCATGCTCTGGCTCACTTCGCTTCGCATCGCATCGCAACGCTCGTTCGTCCTGGCTTTCAATCAATTCAAATGCCAAACGTCTAACAAATTGTACGATTTTCGATTTTCGAGGCACCTCTTGGGGGGCCATTCGCTTGGGCATTTTTGTTATTAATTTGAGCTTGGGGCGATTCACGATTCCGCTTGGACTGGCCCTGACGCTCGTCCTGGCATTTCTGCTCCACTGACGAAAGTCCTGATCTGTTGTGGATCATTGAATGGGACGGCCGAGCTGAATGCGCGCCATGAGCTCTCGAGGAGCTGCTGCTCCTCTTTTATTTATGACACTGGCCAAGAGCAGTGGCAAAAGTAATTTTTCATTATTTAAAATGAAGTGAATTGCAGTCGGTGGTTCCTGGTCGCCTCTCCTTTTCATTTCGTGCTTCATAAATAATTTATTAATTATAAAAGTTTCTGGCACTCTTGGGCGCATGCAAATTCCTACCACTCTCCACTCTCTCTCTTTGCCTGCCTCTTGCGGCAACAGTTGCAAGTGAAAGTTCGGCCAAATATAGCCAAAATATTACTTGCAATGTCATTTTGCGACTTGCCAGCAAAACTTTTTATTAGTTGGCACTGGCCGGGCAGCTCAGTGGACTGTTTGTCCAGTCTTTGGACGGACAGGCGTATTTTTCATATTTTAATTGACAAAACTTTTGGCAACTGAACTGATGGGTTTTTGCTTAGTTTCTGTTACCCGGCCCTAATCAAACAGTGGCACCTAAGAAAGGACTCGGACTGCACAGCTGGAATCCTCAATCAAAGTGGGTTTTGCATTTAAAGTTTTCAGTTAATTGAGAGGCAAGTTTTTTGGGGAACCTCTTGAATGCGTAAAAGGACAGGCGCCTCAGTGCACTTTCTTGCTTTTCTTATATTTTTTCTATGGTGTCTTGCTTAAGTTGAATAATGAATTAGTTAAATTAAAAGCCAGCTTGCTTCTTTACTAATTTAAATACTACTTTTGTTTCCTAAATTCCATTTATTATCAGAACTTTTATTAACAATTTTATTATCTTAATAATACCTCATAACTCTGCTATATTTATCCCGAAAGTTTCGAATAGTTATTTCCTGCTTCCCCTAAATATGTTATTGCCAAGGCTTTAAGTGCCTGCAATTTAATGGCTTGCCAGGCGACACTGCATTTGTGAGTCATGTTTGATGCATGTGGCAACAACCATCGTCACTCAGGCTGTAGGCAAATCCTGCGGCAGTCGCGCACTCAAATTGTCGCAGCATCCTGCCAGCACCAAGGACCCTCCTCTGTGGTGGGTGTGTGTCAAGGTTTATGTCTAAATATGCAAATACTGTTTGAGCAGAGAGGGCGGCAATGTCTCTGAATGTCTCATAAATTCGTGATTAATGTCGCCGCTTTGATTTTGTATGCGAAATCAGGTTTTAATGCAGCTGCCACTTAGGCACTGCATTTGGTTGTCTGGATCATGCAGCATTAATGGCTCCTAGATGGAGTCGAGTCTGCTATTATTGGCTTAGACGCTCGCAGTTGCGTTAATGTGTCAGCCTAACGAAATTAGCATTAAAATTTACCAGACTCCATGTGTGACTAACTCAATTTTGCCCACGAGCCAAGGCTTACACCGACGGCTGGCTCTTAGCGAACAAAGGACATTGATTGCCGGCGACACACGAAGCTATTTAGTGCTAGGATACTTAGAGGGAAAATAAGTCCCTTTGGTCAGGTTACCTAGGGGTTATGCCATTACGCTACATTAAGCTGAAAGCATCGGCC